GGAGGGGAGAGGTATTCAGAAATACTTGGTAAAAGCGTCCAGGATATCAACTAAAATTAACGAGATAATGTATCGTCAGGCACGTGTCATAAATATATTTGCATTTCAAGGAGACTCAAATTTTGTACTCGATCGACGAATTTTAAACTGTTTTCAACATACAGTTCTATAAAGTAGGTACAACAAACTATTAAAATTTCATTGTAATGATTTTTATACACTTATTACTACAGTTTATGCATTTGTAATATCTCTTAACTTGAAAAATGCAGTAGAATAGAGGTTTTAATATGAGTGTAACACTATTTATGTATTATTATTAACGTAGTAAAGTCTCTAATACAGAGTTCAAAATTGTGAATCATTTCAATTTTCAAATATTAGTATCCGAAATTGTAAATTTGCCAAAATTTCCGCAGTCTAGTTATTACAATTCAAAATATATATTAATAACATCTGGAAGGCACACACTGATCTTCAAAAACTGCTTCTCCCTAAGGAACCAAAAAATAGCAGAGCAACAAAAAACCATTTCATCTAAACAAATAAAAAGAAAACAAAAATAAATCCCAATTCCATAGAAGCAAACCAAAATATAAAAAAAACAATTCTATCAAATTGCTCTACAAATCTGAAAAATTCCTAAATAATCGGGAACTATCGAAATCGTTAAACCTCCCTCGTGAATCTCGTCTGACCATGTACGGGATTCACTACTGAATCCTCGTCCCCGTTGTTGGTCAGGCGAGCAGCGAACGATTCGAAGCATCGATTTTGAGTCTCGTCTCGCGAACGGAGTGATCGAGTCTTTGGTCCGCGGGGGTAGGGGAAGGCAGCGTGGATATTTCCTCGATCCTCATGGTTATCGAAGCGCGTTCGTTCAAGACTAATCGAGGGGCCGGCCTATCTAGACGCGCGGGACACGGCAGCAGGTATCCCGAAGTCGTCTTTTCGCCGGTTTTGCCAGTCATTAACGGGAATGAATTATTCCGGTGTTCGGACGTCAGTGGCAGCTTGATAGCGTGACAATAATTTTTTACGAGTGGAAACGTGTACGACCCGATCGAAAGACGGCCACCAGAAATTTGCCTTGGCCGACCCGGTTGAAAGTAGTGAGTACCTGACCGTAATTTGATTTTTATCCCTGGCCCTGGATAAAGCATGCCTTTTATTCAGTGCCTCGCTACTCAAGCATTATCGCGCAGAAGAAAGATATTTTCGAATTTTCCTTTCGTAACGATTTCCGTGTGTACAGTTTCTGTGTCGTATGGTAGATAACGGAAAATGTTGTCGAGCAGTTACCGACTTGAGCCCGCTTAGGTAATATCCCCGTGCATTTATTCGAACGAGAATAGGTCTCTGAAAGACAGTTCGTAATTCGTGTCAAGGTAACTTTTACATAAATTTACACATTGCTCGGAGCACCTGACGATGACGAATTACTCGGAACGTGGCCCGGCTCTAAATATAATTTCTTATTTCCTTTATTACCTGTTTCCCGGAACACCAGAGGGATTTTCCTTTCTTTCTCCTCGAAGCTGTCACGTCCACGGCGAGTGTATGTAGTCGTTTTTTCTTTTCCTGTCAACGGAGTTTCAACGTTCAAACATACACACTATGGTTACGTTATGCGTTACTCGTACAAATGCAATGAGCACTGTCGTCGCGTAACCGTTAATTGTCATAAATTCTAACGGTGCTCATGTCCATCAGTCATCGGTTGTGCATGACCAAGATCATTTATAATTTACCTGTCGTTTTATCGATGTCGTCGAATCGACGAAATGAACACTTTTGATATTTGCGGAAAGTACTTAGGAACACATTATGCCACATTAGTGAACGTCCAGATAATAATCCTTCGTGAATTGTAACGAAAGCAATTTATTGAGGTGAATGTATATACTGATTGTTATACAATTTGACGATGTACGCGGTTCTAATGAAAGCACGTAAAGGGAAATTATACCGTGTGTCCTCGGAATGGAATAAACTTGTCGCACATGATTTCTGATCTCGACTGATGTGAATATGATACTGACGGGCGAATCGAAGTAATGCTTACGATTGTAGATTTTTCGGTAATATGTGTAGGTACATCGTATTTGATAGAGAAGTGATAATCTTAGCCCTTAGTCACTGAGTGAGCAACTTATTAAATGAGCCGTTCATTTGCCAAAGTGATTAAATCCATAAAAATTATCAAAGAAATTTATTTTAAATATTTAAAGTTAAACACCAATCAAGTGCTGCTGTGCTAAATTTTGAAATAATAAAAAAAAGTGGAGTTAATCATTTTAACCTCTGTTCATTTGTTTTTGGTCACGTTTATCAGTTAGGGTTTTCAATGAGCCAGGAGGTGGTCATCCAACAATATTAAACGTAGAATCGTTGGTAAATAAGTTTAAATTTAGTCGAAGACGGTGATCATTGAGTGGTTTTCTATGTATAACAGACACATCAGCACATTCCTCCGATGATTCTTGCCTCTCGACCTATCCTCGAAACTATGCATACGTGCGCACGTAAATACGTAAAAACAAAAAACGTGTATTCTTGACTACACGTGCGTTACATCATCGCAGGTTTACGTTTCTCAAACGATCTTCGCTGCGGTGAACTGGTTGTACTTTACAACTTGATCCTAATCTTGCGCACGAATTCACC